TTCCCTTAGTTTGAGTTCAGATACACCCGGAAGTGTATCCGAATCCCTCAAACCAGGGCTCTGATACCAACTTGAAACGACCCAAAAATTTTCGTTTTTCCATATAATCAAAACCATAATATAAGTATCATAACATAAAACATACGCGATGTATCCCCAAAACATAATAAAATATTGTGCGGAAAACTGTATCATACTACATCAATCCAAAACATCAAGAGACATCCCCAGGATAAAAGCTATGCTGTGGTGTGTGCGATGCTGTCACCCCGAGCTCTTCCCTTTGCTTGCGGAAGTACCTGAAACCAAACTGAAACTGTAAGCACGAAGCTTATTGAGCTCCCCCAAACTACCACATACCATACGATAACATATAAACACATATTGGGCCTTGCCCACTGCATCGGGCCGAAGCCCGGAAACTGCATCGGACCGAAGTCCGGAACTAACTGCATCGGACTGAAGTCCGGAACTGACTGCATCGGACCGAAGTCCGGAACTGACTGGGACCTTGTCCCCTGCATCGGACCGAAGTCCGGAACTAACTGCATCGGACCGAAGTCCGGAACTGACTGGGACCTTGTCCCCTGCATCGGACCGAAGTCCGGAACTAACTGCATCGGACCGAAGTCCGGAACTGACTGGGACCTTGTCCCCTGCATTGGACCGAAGTCCGGAACTGACTGATTGAACATGGCATAGCATAACACATCAACTAGCATAACACATATACGACATGCTACATCGGGCCGTGGCTCGGAACACATAATACTTAACACATGAAACATAGCACACAAATCCTGTTCGAGCCACGAAGGCATCAAACATACTAACTACTGCATCGGACCTAAATCCGGAAACTACTGTTAACCGAACGGGCCGGCATTGTGGCCTTAGACCCGTTCCTACTGGAAGGAAACTCACCTCGTAAGCTGGCTGCTGAGTGTGTGGCTCGGAAAGCTAACGGCGGCTGCTCCTGAATCTCCTCGGCTACAAGTCCATAAACACACTCAATCAAATACTAAACACTGCGCTTGGGGTAAAATGACTCTTTTACCCTCGGTCAAAGTCAATTATCTTTTGGGCTGACTCGCCGAGTTGGGCCACCCAACTCGCCGAGTCCCACTCTCACTTTTCACTCTTACTCACTGCTACTCGTCGAGTCTGGCATCGACTCGACGAGTACCCTCTTGATCCAAGAACTCAGACAATCTTCATCCGACTCGCCGAGCCGGATGAACAAACTCGACGAGTTGTTCTTGATCTTTAAGAAGATTGCCTTGGACTCGCCGAGTTGATAAACAACTCGCCGAGTCCCTCCATCACTGAGTTTACCCTCAACTCGCTGAGTCCACTCCCCTAACTCACCTCGTCCACTCGACACTGATAAAACTGAAGAACTCGGGACTCGCGACCCAACTCGTCGAGTCGTTCTTCCGACTCGCCGAGTTGCCGCCATGCAACTGATTTTTACTTGATTTTGTTTGAATCCAATACATACAATTGATAGATATGGGTCCAATAAGTTGATTTACCACGTAAAGTTTCCAACTTTACGTGTACAACCTCATGAATAAGGGAAATAAGGCTAAAAGATGCACAAAATAAGGTAGATCTATGGTTATCATGCAATATAACTCCAAAAAGACAGTAGATCTGGGCTCTACAACACCCCAACATTTAGATCCATAGCTATTTCGACTTAATAAGGCGTTCATGCAAGTGTAAGGCTTGGAACAAGCATCAACTAGCTCTTAGGAGAGCTCTAATGGAAGTTTAAAGCATATAACAAGATGGAACTCCGAAAATACCTCAATTAACTCTGATTTGGCCTTGGATCTTTGCACTACAACACTTCTCCTTGCTTCTTCCTTCTTCTCCTTCTTCACACCTTCACAAAATGGCACCAAAACACATATAAGCTCTTCAAGGGAGGTTTAGGGTTCTAACACTGCGTTCTCAGGGTGAGGGAGGCGAGGATGGGGGCTATAAGGTGGTATAAATAGTGGGCAACCCGGGGATTTTAGGGTTTCACCCAGACAGATGGACTCGCCGAGTCCCCGGCTCACGCGTGCCCTCAGGCGCGACCCTACTTGGCGAGTCAGGCTAGAACTCGCCGAGTCCCTCTTGAAAAACTCACTATAATTACCAATAAATCAACATACCGGGAACGGGTCGTTACAGAATAGGATTGATCGGCAAAAGTATATTTTTCAAGAAAACAATGGAATGGAAAAACAACACTGTGTGAGCATTATGGCGGTGGAAGTTCAAATCGAGTGGCTTTAGATGTGGCCAAGGAAGAGGTCGTTGATCCAAGAAAAGTTGAGATGGTAATGAGCGTGTCCAACGAGATGCCATGATATATGTTACATGTGTTGTTAAGAATCAAAGGGATTAAGAGAAGACTTTGGATGTGAACGAGGTAGAGGTCGGGTATCCAGGAAAGTCGATAATCAAGATGGTTTGAAAAGAAGGTGATTAAAGAGTACTATAAAAGAGTGGTATGATCAAACCAATTAAAGAGGTGATTGGTTAACTGGTTTTGGTCCATATGGGTTTAACATGAAAATTTTAATTATAGAAAGTTGCCATATTTAAGTTTTTATCTTCTCCATAGTTTTAGAATTTGATTAGGATATTTTTTGTTTTGTGAGCAATAAATTTGCTCATTTTTTCCCTTCTATTTCTTTTCTTTGAAACACCACAAGGAATTTGTGTAGTTTATTTTACTTACAGTCTCAAAACAAACCATTCTTTGATCGTAACTAACAACCACAGACTGTCTATGTTCATCACCAGTCACCCCCGTTGTCTTGTACGGTGCTCCCCGTCTCCCCACGACAACGGTCAACCTGAAAGCACTTTACCATCTTCGTCCTCTGTTGTAAAACAATCTCGAAACAGCCCCTGCTATCCCGAACCGTCTTGTGCGATCAAACCTTCGATTTGCTTAAAAGAAAACAACTTTAATATTACTTGCTAACCAATACTTTTTTTTTATTGAAAGAAAACAACTTTCATTTCATACGTTCCTATATATACTAGACTAAAAAGTATTCTAGTTAAAATTTAAAATTATACAAAAATAAAAGCTTAAATACTGTAAGTTTCCTAAAATGATTATTGTTCAAACTAAACAAAACCAAATACTAGAATAAACAAACCAATTAATCCAACATTGACAAAAAGCACGGCGAGAGCCTAAACGTTTCATTGCCTTGTAATTAACTGACCTTAGAGCATCCACAATGATGAGTTTAATGGAAGAGTTGAATGAGGTGGTAAATCCATGTGTCATTTAATGGATGAAACTATACTATTGTGAGATGTTACCTTGGCATTTAATGAATTTGAAGTCCAATGACCATTAAACTTTTCAATGGGAAAAACGAAAGTTTTAATTCTTAAATATTTACTATAAATTAAATTTTGTAACATTCTATTGAACTTTGTAGAGTTCAATGCATTATAGAGAAAAAAATTAATAAAGTTGTATGGATTGTAAAAAAATGATGTGACAATCCATTAAACTCTATATAATTCAATACATTATGAATGCCCTTACAATCTTGTAGAGTAAAGTCAACCATCAAGAAACATTTCACCTTTTCAAAGTAATTCACTCCCTTATTTATGAAAGCTCTACATATGCTTTACACCACAAGAATAGCAATGTGTACTTTGTCTCTTTAACCCATAAAAATCATTATTTATATGCATTTTTCTTCATATTTTTTTTGAACGACAAGCACATCTCTATGTTGAAAGTACATCTGTGATTACAATTTATAGTTATATGCTCGTTATAACTAAATTGATCACGATAATAGTTATGACCAAGTTCGTTATTCGTAGAAAACGTATATGACAACTTGGTAAATGTGGTGTAATTAATGAAATAGTTGATATTATTTCTTAGGCTTTTCGGTGTGGTATGCGGTTTGGAACCGCGGTTACGCCACGTGGGACACGAACACCGCCCCCAGGGTGCGGTTTGGGGCGGTCGAGACCACACTGCGGCCTTTGAAGACCGTGTTTGCTGATTGGCTATTCCCTTTTCTTTTGACCGTTCCAAAATTCGTGTAATTTAATTTTTTTTTTTTAACCTTTTACTCCATCTATATATACATATGTTATCACTTTTATATTTACACAACCTTTAAACACATATAAATACAATTATTTCATCCAATTTTCTTTGAAAAAATGTATTCTTCCAAAAGACCTAGCAAAGAAAAAACACCAGTCAGAAACATCAACACCCCAATACCTTCATTACACAACCTTTGGACACGTCGAATATGATCGGGGCCGAACTTGAAGTGGTTTTGGCGATGAAGGAGGAAGTGAAAAACCGTTACATGAATCGTGGCTAATTTCTAGTTTTTTTTTCTTCAAGTTTTTAATGGTTTCTTGTGTGTTTTTTTTAAGTTGGTTTTTTGTTTCTACTTTGTTTTTCTAAAATTTTAAGGTTTTTTTTTTTTTTTTTTTTTTTTTTTTTTTTTTTTAAATTAAGTAATGTATGGTATTTGTATTTTTAATTAATGAAATATTATGTTTTTAAAATTATGTTTTTTTTATTAAAAAATAAATTTTATTAAATTAAAATAGTTAACAAAGAAAACAAACAAAAAAAAGGAAAAAAAAATAAAACTAAAACTGTGCCACCACACCCTTGGTGTGGCAAGAAACCACACTTAAGTGGTAAAAAATAATGTGATGCTTACGTGGCGAAAAAGAAAGTACGATTTCGATAGCACCACTATAACATATGATCATTATCAAACAACTAGCAAATTCCTAAATATCAAACAAATCCTAAATAGAATAGGATGTAACATCTAAATTTACCACCTTACCCTTCCCCCACCCCACCCCACCCCACCCCACCACAACCACAACCACTCGTGTATGCCTATATATATATAAATAGGTAATCCTCTGCTGCCAATGCATTCCCTATGTTAACAAGTACCATTTTTAGATCTCCCCTTATCTACTTTTGTATGTGTTATGCGTTGGGTCCCACACACTGTCCACTCTCTGTTATATCTATATATGCATCAATACTACATATATACACACAGTGGCAAAGGGAGTACTACTGATGAGTAACAGTGCCCTTTGACGACAACCCCGTAGACTGCAACTTCTTGACTCTTATTTCATCTTCTTATATAACACATTCCCCCATTCACTATCTTCACACACACACACACATACACACGCACACACATAACCATGCACAGATGCTCATGTGGTCTCTTCCACAATCATCAACCCAACTCATGTTCCATTTTCTTCACCATGCCTTACGATCAAAACATTTGTCCCTACGCCTCCTCTTCTCCTTCTTCCGTTGATTGTACTCTTTCTTTAGCTACGCCTTCATCTCGTCTAGCCTCCGAAGACTTCGACTCACCGGAATCACGACCTTCATCCCGTTTCTGCTGGGACTTTTTACAGTCCGATAACCACTCACCGGCTCCGCCTTCTTATAAACCTAACCGCGGAAGCGCAACCAACATCGCCACCGTTGACTCGCTTCTTGCTCGGAGGTGTGCTAACTGCGATACCACTTCTACTCCGCTTTGGAGAAACGGTCCTCGTGGTCCCAAGGTAATTACAAATTAACACAAATGCATGAGAAAATATATGTTTTAAAGTGTTTATAAATTAATCGACTGAAAACTTGCAGTCGCTGTGCAATGCGTGTGGGATAAGATTCAAGAAGGAAGAGAGGAGAGCGAACGCCACAGCGACGGCGGTTGGTGGTGGAGATGCGACGGAGGAGTATAACGGGAACACGTGGATGCACCACATACAAGGGTCGACGCATAAACTGCCGTCATACTACTCACCGGCGGGGGTAGGGAATGAGTTTAGGTTTATAGATGACGTGGACGACAGAGATTCTACGTTCCTGTCGTGGCGTCTCAATGTGACTGACAGAGTAGGGCTTGTGCATGATTTTACCCGCTATTAAAATCCACGTCGAGATCCACGACAGTGACGTGGAAAATATTATTTTTTTGGATGATTATGTCATTTTGCTTTTGTCAGTCAAATATATAAACATATGAACTCCTTTTTCTTTAATCAACTCTCAATATCTTTTACTTTTCTTTATTCTTTCTGTTTCTCCCTATTTTAATATTTATCGCTGTTTTTGTGTATACATGTTAGTATTAAAGAAAAGCCTTATTCATCTCTTGCTTTCTTTATTATATAATTTTAAATTTTTCTATGTTGAATGTTCAAAATTTTGTACAAGCTTAATTATTATGATCTTGTAATGATGATATGAGATTCGTATAATCTGAACTCTTATAATTTAGGGGTGTTCATGCATGGATTAAGTGTATTTCATAAAGTTAAAGCAGAACTATCGGTTCACTATTTTCATGTACCTAAACCTAAATAGTAAAAAATTTGTTAACTGGTTTTCATTTAACTTGTTTTAATTTTCAGTTCGATTATCTAGTTCACCAATTAACAGTTTATTAATTAGTTAATATGTTGTAAAACTAAAAAACTCCAGAAATGATTTTCAAAATAAGTATAACCATATAATATTATTTTTTTAAAAGCCAAGATATTATTATATGATAAAATTAGAAATTGACCAAGATGAATTTTTAGGATAGTCAAATAAATAAATCATGCATGATCATCGGTTAGGAATTTGCAATTTGGAATGGATAATGATGATTAGTTAATCGTTATTGTTATTTGGTTTTTATAACTGGAAAATTCATATTTTTGAAAGCAGTGTTTATCTATTTGATTATCCTAAAAATTGCAAATTCCTAAATGATGATCTTGCATGATTGCTTATTTAAAGCAATTCATGTTTTTTAAACGTTGATTAGTTTGAAATGGACAATTAAGGAGTTTTTGGGATTGCTTACTTAAAACGGTTCATTTATTAGTTTATAAGGTGTTAAGAGTTTTTAAAAAATATGTTTCTTATATCAAAACCTAATAAGTTGGTAAATTACCTTTTACGTTTAGAGAAGTCATGTTTATAAATAAATGAAGAAATACATATCGAAAACTTTTTATTTAACACAATAAGTGTAACATCCGGATTTTTACCAGGTATTTTTGTAAAACTAATTTTGTCATATTGTGAGAGGGACTCGGCGAGTTGGAGCTCAGACTCGCCGAGTAGAGACGCGGAATTGAACATTGGTGCGCGCCTGGATTCGGCGAGTCTGCGCTGTGTAATGAAACCCTAAATCTCCGGGTTTGAGGCCTATTTAAAGGGCCTTATGGCCGTCATTTGTGCTCACCCAACCCTCAGTGAGTAACCCTTGTGTTCTTGAGCTATTTGTGAAGAGAAAGGAGCCATTCTTGATCTTGTGTGTGTTATCTAGCAAGAAGAAGGAGACCCTAGGCAAGAGGAAGCAAAGGAGGTTGCTATTTCGTGGATTTGGAGCTTAGATCATCACTCTAGAGGTATTATCTCGGACCATTTTCTGTTTAGTGAAGCATGATGCAATTTAGGGCTTGTGGTGGTCATTTATGGGATGATTTGATGCCCATTGGTTCCCTCTTTGAGTTGAGGCCATGGATCTGGATCCATAGAGGTCCAGAGAGCCTCACTCATCAAGCTTTATGAGTGACAATAGAGTCTTTGGCCTTGTGTTGTAGTATTTGAGTCATAAACATCATATATGGTCATATAAAGGTTGTATGTGCATCAAGATTGTAACTTTACGTGCTAAATGAGCTTGGAGGGACTGGATCTATGGATTAATGAACTGGATCTGACCTTTAGAGCAAGATTGAGTCAGTGCATGGCATGGACTCGCCGAGTCCGAAGAACAGACTCGGCGAGTAGCATGAATGTTGCCCGACCACTCTGTGAGTGGCCTCGCCGAGTTGGGAAAGGTGGACTCAGTGAGTCAAGGGGGAGTCAGAATGGACAGGTGGACTGAGTCTAGCTGGACTCGCCGAGTTGTTCTTGAGACTCGGCGAGTTGAGTTGTGGTGGCCCCATAACTCGTGCCAGGTGGAACTCGTCGAGTTGAGGGAATGCTCGACGTGTCAAGGGAGGATTCCAGGGAAATTGGTGTACATGCCCAGACTCGCCGAGTCGCCTGGGTACTCGCCGAGTCCGGTCAAAGTTGACCGTTGACCGTTGACCTAGATTGACTTGTTATAGTGTGGTCAACCCCAGTGGGGAAAGTGTTAATTAGAGGTGTATTGTGCTATAGGGGGACGACAGCTCGACAGGTCGAGTGATTAGCGATTTCAGGTTTACGATTTACCGAGACACGCGAGGTGAGTCTTCTCACTATACTTTACCTTGAGTAGGTAACCAGAGTTATGTGATAGAGTATTTGTATGCTATGTATGTTATGTGTTGTACTGCATTACTTCTATGTGTTTGATGCTATGCATGTTTACAGAGTTAGAACCGGAAGGTTCACAGAGTTAGAACCCGAGGGTTCACAGAGTTTGGGTGCACGGACCCACAGAGTTATAGCCTCGAGTGGCTAATATGTGTTATATGTAGTATTTTGGGGAACTCACTAAGCCTTGTGCTTACAGTGTTGATGTTATTGTTTCAGGTACTAGTGACGACCGCGGGAAGGCGCCGGCTTGATCCGTACACACACACATTCGGAGCTTGATATCATGATCTTGGGATTTTGTATTGTCTTGTTTGGATAATTAAAATGGTTGTTTAATGAATATCAATGGAATTATGTTTTATAAAAATTGAAAAATTTGTTTTGAAAATTTTCGGTGTTACAATAAGTAAGAAAAATCTAATATGGTAATGTATAATATGATAACGGCGACTTTTTTAGAATAGCTGAATATATTAAGTTACTAAGATAAGATGCTAGAAAATACACCTGGGACAATTACAAGGGAGTGTTAATGAATGTAAATGATTGAGTTTTGAACCAAATTAACCCAACCAAGTTTAATTATAGTATTTTATGACAAACCATATAAAGGCATCTACAATACATTGAATTCCATAAAATTTAATGGATCGTCACATCATTATTCTTAAATTCATACAACTCTATTATTGTTTTCTCTACAATGCATTGAACTGTACAAAGTTCAATAGAATGTTACAAAATATTATTTATAGTAAATATTTAAAGATTAAAACTTTCCTTTTTCCCATTGAAGAGTTCAATGGCCACTGAACTCCAAATCCATTGAATGCCAATGTGACATCTCACAATAGTTGAGTTTCATCAATTGAATGACATATGTACTTACCACCTCATTCAACTTTCCTATTAAACTCATCATTGTGGATGCTCTAAACGAAATCACGACTATTCTATACTATCAAAGAGAACATCCCGTCTAGCAAACGCCAAATCATTTATGAGTCTTCATATGATCCACCATGCCCCACAGATACAAAAGAGACAATTATAGCATCCTATTCCATAATAATAAAAGTAATAAACTACAAAATAAAAATTGTTAAAAATTGGATGTGGCTGTGCTTAAATGACAATGGCAATCACTAATAAAAAATAGTTTAATTTTTGTCCGAAATTAATTTTTATGATTTTGCAATGATGATGAATAATTATGGAACTAAAGTTTTGAATTTTGTGTATGTACTGTTAATTTTGGTTGCATGTTATCTATGTCTCTTGCTATGAGATTTGCCTAATTTGAGTATTTGAGATGATAAATTAGAATGCTATATACATAACATAGATGATTTTGCTACGATTTCTAACATAACTAAGAAGTAGAGTAGTCCTGAGAGAGTCCCAAACTTGGGCTAGTATAAGCCCAATTTAATATGCTTTTCAATTTTCCATCTGAGTTTGTATTATATAAAGTTATTATTGTTTTGAAATCTATTTTCTTTATAATGTTTTAAAGTTATTTTTTACTCTGTTTTAAATTTGTTAAATTACCATAACCAACTCATATTTTTTGTATATCACACGTTAAAGTCACCCTTCTTTCAAATTTTACATTTTTAACTTAAATTTTAAATTTTATTAAAAATTTGGTTTAAATTTAAAATTTTGTTATGAATGCTACTTCAAATTTAAAATAAATATATTAGTAATAATTATACTTCAAGAAAATAATATGTTTGTATTATGTATATTACTATGATATTTTTGGTCTTCCTAAATTGTTTAGTGTATTTAAGTTCAAACGTATCTAGTTATCTAATAGGACGATAGGAGCATTTCACCGATCAAATACCTTTCTCGATCAAATATTTGTACCTATTTAGATTTCGACAGGGGTAGATGGAGAATATGATTCCATAACAAAGGAGAGAATCAGGGAAATAATTTACTGGGATTCCATTTTTTTAACAGAGACTTTATTCACTCATCAGTACAAAATTAGGCTTTATGTACGTAAAAGAGGCTTGGAAGTTTTTTATTATTATTATTATTATTATTATTATTATTATTATTATTTACATTCAACGTGTCGTGTATTGATGATAAGTTATGTTATTGTTTAATTATGGTGAGCATAACCAATGAAAATCCGTTGTTATATGTCACACAATTTATTACATGGTATATGGCCGGTTTTAGGTATTATCTATCTTATTTTGATGACCGTTATTAATAATATATTTATAGATATTATTGCAATTATTATTTAGTTTTGGAAACACAAATATAATTAAGCTATCAATATGGGTTATTTTTACTAACATGTTTCCTGTTTTCTCATTACTATTGTTTACATACACCGATAAATAAAAATTTAAGCAGTCGCAAAAAAAGATTCATACTCATGTGTTATTATTTTTAATATGATTATTGATAACTTTTACTGACATGTTTAATATTATATCGTGAACATTGTGAATATTTACTCACTCATAAATAATTAAACAGTCACCATAAATACTTATAGTAATATGTTTTTTTTATATACAGTGATAAATGTTTATTTATAATCACCATTTATAAATATTATCGTAACTATTGTTGACTTTTGGAGACACAAATATAATTAAGCTATCAATAGAAGTATCTTTAGTAACATGTTTAATGGTTTCTAGTTACTATTGTTTATATACATCGACAAATAAAAATTTAAGATGTTACAAAAAATAATCCATACTCACGTATTATTACTTTTATTATGATTATTGATAACTTTTAATGACATGTTTAATACTATATCGTGAATATTGTGTGTATATATTCACTCACAAACAATT